TTCTATCATTTCTGTACCGATGTAACATAGAACAAATCTTTTATTTTTACTAAAATGTAGGCATAGTTGCATGGTTGAACAGGCAAGTCAGAAGACAAGCACTACGCGTATACTCTCGTATTCTCTCATCGTGCGCGTACGTATAACGTCGAACAAGATAGAAAAATGAAGCGAATTAAGAAATCTAGTTAATATTACCCATGTGTGTGTGATTATTTATAAATGTCACAAATGAAACCGTAGACTTCATCTGCGAACTCACCACTCGAGAGAACATCAACCTTGGCATACCTCCGTTGCTATTGAAACCCCTCGTTTTACTGTGCACTGAAAACGCGCGCTCCCAGTTCCAAGGTACCGCATTTCGACAGACAGACGGTGTGGCGATGGGGGTAGCCCCCTTGGTCCTATCCTGACTGATATTTTCATGGGTATGATTGAAGCACAGCTGGACGAGGCAAGCAAGGGAACATTTTTCTACAAAAGATACGTGGATGACGTGCTCGTCATCTTCAATCACCCTCACGATATGGCTGTATTGCTGGATGAATTCAACGCAGCACACCCCAACTTGAAATTCACCTGTGAAGTGGAGAAGGCAAACTCGTTGGCCTTCCTTGATGTCCTAATAACCCGTAAAAGTGACGGTTCTATCCAACGATCTATCTTTTGCAAGAAGAATTGGTCCGGGCAGTACCTTCACTTCAACAGTTTCTCACCAATAGAACACAAGAGAGCCCTGATTCGAACATTATTCCACAGGGCGAGAAAAATATATACAGAGGACACAATATTAAGTGAACAGGGTAAATAGTTATCCGGAATGTTTCGTTCGTTTTCATAGTCTGACAGGAAACCGAACTCAAACCACTACCTTTCGAGTGCCAAAAAAGAATATCCACATTTTACTGCCATACAAAGGGAAGTCAATAATGCAGCTTATAACACAGCGTATCAAAAACGCGTTACAAAGAACCTACTACGCTGCCACATTAAGACTCCATTTGATCACACGGCGCCTCCCCCTCCCCCCATTCAAAGATCGTCGTCCAGTCAAGTCTACCTCTCATTGCATTCACGCCTTCTGTTGCAGCTGCAACGAGGCATACATTGGTGAAACGGACCGATCGCTGCGAACTAGAATGGCTGAACACATCCCCAAGTATGTGCGTGACTCTATGACAGCCCACATCACACACTCTGACCGCATCACGCAGACCGACTTCGGCCATCGCACGTCACTTGATTGAAAGCGGCCTCAGGGTAGACCGTACGAAAGCGTTCTCGGTTTTGTTACGTCATCGAGACAAACACCGAGGCATTATCGATCGCTCACAACAAACCCACACTGTGGATCTAAAAACGTATGAGCTTTACCCTTGGCCTTCCCTGGCTGTAACTAATCACGTGCATCACACACTGTACACAATCACACACACATGGGCAATACTAACTAGATTTCCTAATTCGTTTCATTTGTCTATCTTGTTCGATGTTATACGTACGCGACCGATGAGAGTATACGAAAGGAGTAGTGTTTGTCTTCTGACTTGCCTGTTCAAATTCATTACGGGATCCAAATGTTTATGGTTGTGTGTGTGTGTGTGTGTAAGCCATTACCACAGAATGCAGTACAATACAATACAATACAATACAATACAATACAATACAATACAATACAATACAATACAATACGGTGCAACTGTACGATCGAATCATTGCTTTTTCATTGTTCTTGTTTTGTTTGAGTGTAGGGCTATCTCGGTCGATTGCAATCATCCTCATTCACTCCGGACATTACTCCAATCATCCTGGCGGCCCATCGAGACAACTATGTGATCCTGAAAATGCTATTGGATCGCGGGGATCGAATCCCGCGACCGCATGATTTACGCTGTGCCTGTCACATTTGTTCCCAGGCCAGACGTGATGATGGTCTGCAACACTCGAAGCTCCGAATCAACACGTACCGAGCACTGACCAGTCCGTCTTTCATAATCCTGACCAGTAATGATCCGATTCTGACCGCGTTCGAGATGAGCGCCGAACTGCAACAGTTGGGCGAATTGGAGAATGAATTTCGCGTAAGTTGAGTAAACCCTGCTTCATTCCCCACCCGTACACACTCATTTCACAGTATATGGTGAAATGTTCCGTTTCTAGTTTTATTCAGAACACAGGGACTCGGACGAATCGAAAATAGAAGGAAACGAAATTGCACTGGAGTGCACTACTACTACTACTACTACTACTACTACTACTACTACTACTACTACTACTGCATCATATTAAGTCCGGCTAGATTTAGAGAGTATTGACCTGGTGAACAATCACAATTCCCAACTTTTTTTCTGGAATTTACGATTTTGATTTGTGACTCGTCAATATAATGTACTTCAAAAATCGGCAACTGAAACCTACCATCTGGAATAATGCTGCCCAGACTATGGCACAGCCCCACCGTGGGCTCGACGGCTGAAATCCAATTTGCTCCCAGTCAGTCCTGCGGTACACGAGGCCCGTCGAGATGAAACGTTTTCTCATCACTGGATTTCTATCGTACCGTTTCATTCAGCAATCCAATTAATGTGTTTATGTTAAACTACATTAGTCTATACTCACTGTGGCTATCATAAATTCATGGTGCTGAATTTTGAGTTTGGAACAGTGTAATATTCACTGTACGGGTCGAACACACTCACACAAACACACA